TAAAGTAATGGTTGATACCGTTTTCAAACGGATAGCTGATTGTTCCGTTCTCTATATCCTGTATCGTTATACTTAAACTTGACTGTTATGATGGGCAACATATTATTATTAGCTTTAAAGTCATGACTGATGCAATCAATTATATATTGATTAATTATCGATGATTTAAATTTCTGTCGATGTGTAGACGATAGACGCAGCATTGTCTAGAATAGATAGTTGCTGTTGTCACAGTTAATTCTCAGTTAACCTGACTTCAACGTCCATCTCAATGAGGAGGAGGAGAAGGAGGACGGGGATATTTACAAGTGAACAATGTCTTACTGTGAATCGTAACCAAAAAAGGAGAACATCCATAAAATCATAAACACATCGTTACAAGATAACTGGTGACGGAATGACTCATTTCAGTGCCGCCAACTCACTCACTGTAGTACTCCAATATGGATAAGAATTTATTTTGATAAAATCACACACTGTTGTTGTAAAATCAATTCAATTCCCATCCTTGAATCAAGTCAACTTGTCCCGGATCAACCTAGCGTTGTTGCAACCCAATTATCCATGCCCAACGTGTCTATCCCACCTTGTTTAATTAACTGTGTGTGTGTGTTTCTTACATCGATCCGTTTAGTCAGACCGTTGAACTCATGACCCAATCAGAGTATTTTTGTGAACTGTTATTTTGCTGACCCATGTCTTACTTTGTACTATTCTGTCGAGTTTATCTTATTTATTGATTGGTTAAGTAGCCAATTAAATTCTATCTTTGTGCCTATGCTCTGTCTATCTCTTAACCGCTCTCCGTTCTATGCCCTGCCTTACTTGGGTTCATTCTTCTGCTGACTGCTTACCTGAACGGTCATGTCTGATTCCGGCTAGTTCGCAATTTTGTCTTTAACGTTATTCCTCTCTGATAGCGGTACTTTGCTTTCTGTTAAGCATTGTGCTTTGTACTCTTGAAACCTTTAAGGTTTGTTGTATATATATAATTATTGATTTGTTCATTAATAGTACCGTAGAAACAGTGACCGGCTTCTTGTTTGTTCTGGACCGAGATAGCCTTTATCTACGCGTAAATTAATTTCAAACGATATTGCGCTTACAGTTGTTATGCCGTTAGTTATATTTACTGATGACCATGCTTCCAGCCCAATTTATTACTGCTCATAATTATATCAAGGCACTCACTGACTCACACAACTTTCTTGCTTCATTTATATACATGAGTGAAATTGATGATTAGACATTTGAATGAAAATCAATATGGGTTAATGTATATTCAGAAATAATATGACAACAGTAATGGTGAAACTAGTAATGATAACAGAAATAAGAAAAAATATAAGGCATCTACAGATTTACTATATAAGCAGGGGACATCTGAAACCCTACGTGGGATTCACAACAAAGCAGGAATCAGGGTGATGGCATTCAAACATACAAACTCATTCAAACTGGACAAGATCTGTCGGCTAAAAAACGCTGTCGGTTGACCCAATTCAACTAAATAATATAATTTACAAAATACCTTGCAATGACTGTGAATGTGGTTGACTACATAGGCCAGTCCAACTAGTAGATCGGGGAGGAGGGGGGGTTGTCAGATTGTCAGAACATAAGAATTTAGCTAAGATTAGAATGAAGATAAGTAATTTAGAAAAAGAAACTCAGCTATAACACTCCATGCAATAACACACAATCGCACACAATAGGGTGGATGAGACAGAGTCGAAATTCTAAAAGGTAATATAAGGAGGTGGGGAGAGAGGTTGATTACTGAATCCTGGCTGGTTCATCGAATCTACACCCAACACATACAATAGGAATGACTCAATGCAAATACCAGAGATATGTATGGAAGATGTTATTACCACCAATCACTCAAATCAGAGGAGGATAATAAATAATACTGTTAAAATGCATTCAATTCACATCATAACATTCTAACAAGTTATTTACTTATTTAAAATACGGAAGCATCTTATTTCTCATCTGATTCTATTTGACTGATAACATCAATATTATTTCCAAATGTACTTTATCTTATTATATTGATTTTATTTATCAAATGTCTAATCATCAATATTTTTTTTCTCATGAAGCAAGGAAGTTTTGTAACTTGTTGTGGTATGTGATTATGAGCGGTAATAAATTATGCTGGAAGCGTGGTTATCACTGTATAACACTGTGAGACTCTGTCAAAATAAAATCTTATCCATACTAAACTTATAATCTACCATCACAGGAGTAAGACAAGGTTGCCTACTATCGCCAATGATTTTCCTGATTGCAGTAGACTGGATAATGTGACAAACAGCGGGCAATGAGGAAACAGGCGTAAAATGGACTCACACAAAAAACCAACTTGGAGGATCTGGACTTCGCCGATGATATATGTCTGATTTCCCACAAACTGGAAGATATGCAAGGGAAAAGCAACAAGTTGGCAGAATAAGCAGCAAAGATAGGACTTCCTTCAGGTGAACATAGATAAAACAGAAGTGATGAATATTCCTGGACAAGAACAACAACAACAGACAACAATAACAACAACAGAAAACGATCAGCATAAATGGAAGGAACCTGAAAGAAACAACCTCCTCTACCACCTGCCTGGGAAGCATCGTTTCAACTACAGGCACACGGAACTGACGACGATATCACAGCAAGAATCGGAAAAGCAAGACAAGCTGTCACTATTCTCAAGTCTGCGTGGATATCAACAGCACTACTCAACATCAAAAATAACATCCGGATTTTCAACTCCAATGTGAAGTCAGTCAGTGCTACTCACTATACGGATCAGAGACTTGCACTGCGCGTCATGAAGAGCATCTCAAACAAACTACACACCTTCATCAACAGTTGTCTTCGCTCAATACCACTCAAGATCAGATGGCCGGCCAGGAAAGATCAGCAACAGAGATCTCTGCCAATGAGCGAACCAACCGAGCAGGAACCGATTGTGCAACAAATATGCAGGAAGAAATAGAGATAGATTGGCTGGGCATACTCCGAGGAAACCATCAAGTGACATCACCAGACAAGCCATTGCTCGAGTGGAACCCGAAAGGGAAGCGGTGATTTGATCGTCAGTGGAAGGGTGACTTGGAGGAGGTGATGTGAAGAGGAGATGAAAGTGTGTGCACAGACATGGAGCCATGTGAAGACTCTAGCAGAGAACCGAACGGAATGGAGACTCGTGGCTGAAGCCCTATGTTCCTCTCGGAATTAAAGGAAACAATAATAATGATATAATCACAGTACCCAAGTTTTATACTCTTATATCACTGTAGTTCTAACTCTTCTATCTCTTCATTGCAATGACAATTCATATCTATCTTTCTTTAGTTGGTTTAATGTCATTGGTTAACTTTTGCTTATATTCAGCAAAAATTTGACTTCTGATTTATAAGTAAAGCAGAGAAATGCTGGTGTCTATGTCACATTCCCTACTTCGGTTGTCACAAACTTTAATGCCTGAAACTATTTCGAGGTTCGATGATCGTCTTTTGCTTAAATATTAAAAATTAAGTCCCTTTCATGAGGACTAAGAGCTCACAATCAGAGATTATGAGAGATTCAGTAACACGTTGGAATACGCTACAGAACTCAATTATTGTTATTATTTTACCCTTGTTTCCTAATGGAACATAGGGCTTGCTTCTGTCTTCTGCTGTACTTTTCACTCGCATCCATTTTAGTCCATACTGTTTCCACTCCTCTTCACACGATCTCCTCCATATCACCCTCCTTAGACGTCCCACTCACTGCTTCCCTTTCGGGTCCCACTCGAGTATTGGCCTGAAGCGCGATGTCATCCAGCGGCCTCCCTCCTCAACGAGTGTCCAATCCATCTCCACTTTCTCCTGCATATTTGTTGGGCGATTGGCTCTTCTTTTGTTTGTTCCCATAGTTTCTTGTTGGTTTTTGTTCTTTCCGGCCATCTGATCTTCAGCATAGAGGCAGCGAAGACAGTTGTTGATAAAGGTCTGCAACAGGCTGTTGGAAATATTCTTTGTGACTCGCCGCCAAGTTTCTGATCCGTATAGCAAAACTGACTTCACATTTGTATTGAAAATCCGAATTTTGTTGTTGATGTTGAGTGACGAATATTTCCAGATTGGTTTCAGGTGGATGAATAAGGGGATATATATAAGTATATATGTATAAATGCATGGCAGCATCGGTGGTTCAGACGTATGAAGCGCTCGCCAGCTATATAACTTTCACTGTCCGGGGTTCGATTATTTGACCACTGACGCAATCCCAAATCTCGTTGGTAGCTGCTGGTAAAGAGGGAGGGGGTTGTTGGGCGTTGAGTCTAGTAGCAACCACCACCGCATCCGCCTCACCACGACGCTAAATACCTGTCAGTATAAGGAACCACTACTATTGAAACTTGAAAAGATCTAGGTTGAAGCATCCTTGTCTCTCTCTCTATATATCTCTATCTCTTATATTCCACTCAAAATAATGTATGTAATTGGTGGATGGTGACTAGCAGTGGAATCCAGGATTACACGCATTTCCTCCTATTTGGGACTCGTCTGCCAGCTGGATGTACCTGCATTCCCCAGTGAGTTAGTGATGATGTTCCCACCACTGAGGCTCGAACCCAGTGCCCGCAGTTTCAAACGCCACAGCGTTATCCACTAGACCATTTGGGCCACAAGAAAGCCACCTATTTCTTGCCCAACGGGTCATATTAATTATTTTTAATTGAATTCAGTTTTAGATTTTCCCGTCCATTGATTGATTGGACCGAAGTGCTCAGTCTCAGGTTGACATGTCTGTCGGCTCCTTCTTGTGCATGCAGATGCTTCGACGATGTCTGGGCATTTAATTAGTATTAAATTGGTGGAATCCACCAGGATGAGCATTTCGTCCTATTTGACACCGAGCACTTCAGTCCAGTCAATCGATGGGAAAACTCAAAAATTCAATTGAAAATAATGTATGATAATAGAATAAATTGAAGACAAAAAAGAAACGGAGTTATAGAATTAGGGAAATATATATCTGATGATACAATAAATATATAAATATAAAATAAATTATCAACTAAGTATGGAAAAAAGAGAGTGGATAAATGCATTTGCATGAAAGACACAAATATATACCTTGAATTGCCATTTTCTTTCTTTTTTTTTAAATTAAAGGTGTACAGATAAGAGAAGCAGGCGTACTCAACATATTAATGAAGGCTACTATGTATAACAGCATAGTTAATAATGATAAAAGGGAATGTGTTGAAGGAAGGAGTGATAGTGACTGACTGAGTGAGTGAGTGAGAGTGCAAGAAATGAACAAAGTAAATAGTTGAAAGTGAAGAGACCACCCCCGGAAAAAAAGTTGAGAAATTTTTAGGATTATTCCAATGAAATAAATAAATAAATAAATGAAATATCAAAAGAGGATTATTGTGAATACCAATCATCTAATATCGATAACATTTACTGATGTTACTGATGTGTGTTTGCAAGTGTGTTAGTGTGTGTATGTGACGGAGGTGTGGAAGGTCACTGTCATCTTTGAATGAGTTACCTGGTTGATTGGTTGGTTGGTTAGTTATTTGATCATGCTGAATGTTGTTGGTTTCGAAGTAGAAAGAAAATAAAAAAAAATTGACCGATATAATATGCAGAGGAGAGATTCAATAAGGAAGGCATTGTTATATGTAGAGAGTTGACAGTTAGTTACATGATCACAGGATACTTTTGGTTTCTTTTTTGTTCAGATTCTACTCAGAATGAATTCCATCTCCTCCTCCTGCTCCTACTCTTCACCGTCTTATTCTACTTCTTATTGTTATTTCTGATTCAATGCGATATGGACTAATATTTGACTAGCTAACATTGGATTTCTATACACCAGTAGACCTTGACGATTACAACATTTGGAGAGATTCGATGAATTGACAGTCTGTAAGTGAGAGATACACGGAAACATAAAGAGAGAGAAGCGAAAAATGAATACAGAGGGTAGTAATAAAGATGGTTGTCAGTATGTCAGTTCATGTGGTGGTTTCTCGCTGAACGTTAATCTTTCATCTCTTTGTGGCCGTTTCTTGAATGTCAAATTATCTATCTGCGAATTGTATCCGTCTACTCAAAGTCTGCTGTGATTGGTTGTTGAGTCAGTCAGTCTTTGTTCTTGTTATTTTCTCATGACCAATATTGGGGACGTTAATACTGACGTAAATTATTATCTACCAGTTCTGGCTGGCAGCCAGCTCTCACCACAGTGGTCGCATTTCCCTCACCACACTTTTGACCTTAGAATCCTATTGGTTGATGGCTGTCTTAATTTATCAATGCGATAAGTGTCCCTCAAGGTTATTTGAAGCGTCTATATGTACGCAAGCGCTGTCAACAATTTTTTTCACCGTCGATATGAGACAGGAAAAGCTTTCCACGTCAATGGTCTGTCTTCTTTTCTTGTCTACTTGCATTACGGTTTCAGCAGAATCGTATTGTGTTGTTGTGGCTGTTGTTGGTGATGCCACTGTGGTGAGAGCTGGCTCCTAGCCGAAATTGGTAGACAGCAGCAATTTACGCCAATGTTTACGTCCCCAATATTGGTCATGAGAAAACAACAAGAACAAAGACTGACTGACTCAACAACCAATCACATCAGACTTTGTTTGCGTAGGCGGATACAATTCGCACATAGATAATCTGAACTTCAAGAAACGGCCACAAAGAGATGAAACATTAACGGTCGGTGAGAAACCACCAATCAGAAGACTGTGTTTTTCTGCTAACAATAATCTATGAAGATGTACATGAAAATCTATAAATATATGTCGATTTCGTAAATAAACGATCTGTTTGGCTGGCCCTTGTCTTCCGTTTTTACAATATGACAAATGGTTCAAATCCAACTTCTCATCAGGTGGGATCACAAGTCAGTATAAAATGAAGGTTATATGCTCGTACAAACAAGTACAGAAACTCAATGATACTTCAATCGACCCGCAAACTGTGTGACAGAGATACACACTCTTAGGTGTAAAATCTGCAACTTCTTGTGTACTTAGTAGAAATAATTTGGCTGTTTAAATCTTTGCCTATTTGTAGTTTACAGTGATACTGTTTCATTTTCATGAGCTTTACAATCGTAATTATAGTTAAGAAAGAAATCTTTAGACCAATCAGATACTGGTAAATTTTGTCCTTGGAAAATTGTATTCCATAATGTAAGGTGTAACGTAGAAGGGATGACAAATTGTCAGTTAGAAAGGAGACAGATGTTGGCATGACGTAATAAGTGAGAGATAGTGAATAATCAATAAGCTCGTGTAAAATGGACAGGAACTAGTGGAAAGGCTATAAAGTGTTTTTGTATAAAATATGTATGACAAGCAATGTTATGAATAAACAGTAATAGACTGGTAATAAAATATGGATGATGGGAATAATAATGATGATAAAAGAGTATAAATAAAATGAAATAATAATAGTATTAATAGTGAGCTTACATAATAAAGGAAAGAAGCAAAATTTTGGTAAGAACTTTACTCTGGCCATGGTAGGGCAAGAGAATGTGTGTATCGTTTTTGGATGCAGAGGTCCGGTTTTAGATCTCGAATAGCTAATGCTTCAGCTGTGTACAGATGGCGTATCCGAAGTCCCTTTGTACGATATTGAGGGACTCTGTGTAACACTGTGAAGCATTCATGTGGGGGTTCTCGATGTCCAGAGATGATAAGGTGTTCGAGGATCGAGCTGTTGCTATTCTTCTTTTCTCCTCTGGATAGCCACTTTATAGCCTTTCCACTAGTTTCTGTCCATTTTACACAAGCTTATTGATTATTATCATTATCTCACACTTATTACGTCATACCAACTTCTGTCTCCTTTCTAACTTACAATTAGTCATCCCTTTTACGTTACACCTCACATTATGTAATACAATTTTCCAAGGACAAAATTTACCAGTATCTGATTGGTCTAAAGATTTCTTTGTTTAATATAAATACGATTGTACAGCTAATGAAAATGAATCGTCAAAAAGGGAGAATATTCTTCGCTGTTTACGCCTTTTTCTTATGACTCAGTATGGGAATATTTCGTTCATATTCCAAGAAACCTGTGCCTGAATGAAAGTAAATATTTTCACAGAGTGCAATTACCAGATATATTGTTGATAGTGGACATCTCGTAGAGATTTCTAAGTCCTTTAAAATATATATTGAATAGACAAAGGACAACAAATTTTATTACAATTTGTCGAATCGATCGCAATCAAACGATTCAAACCAACCAGACTTATGCGTACACAAAGAGAGTGTGATTAATCTCTCACTCTCTTGGTAACTGAATTTTGATTTTGATATTACATAACTCACTGAGCAAGCTGTCACCGCGTTTGTTTTTTTAAGTTGCTATGTGAACCTCATTATGCTGAGTGACAACAACAGACGATTTTCAAACTAGTTTCAGGGTTGGTGAAGGCGTTGCCTTGCCTTTCTGATTCTGACTTTGACATCTTCGTCCATTCCTTGTGCCTGTAGTTGAAATGATGCTTCTTAGACGGATAAGTGAAGAAGGTAACCTCTGTTTAATCTCTCTCTCTCGTTGATGTAAGCTTAATGAACAGTTTTGCTGTCTGCTGCAGAGTACTTCTAGGCAGAGGATGAAATGAAGATGTTCAGACTTCCAAGGGAATAATAGTGATAATCATCCATCCACGTGGACATAGGCAAAATAGTGGCTGCTATGGGTTGCTATTGGTTCACCAGTCTCCCCAATAGTCGCCGACCTTTTCATAAATAAATTCGAAACTAACATCTTTTCAAGCATACTCACTCCTAAAATATGGTTAAGATATGTAGATGATACTTTTGTATTACTAAAACGAGATCTACACCATTCATTCCTGGAGGAAATAAACTGTGTATCTCCCAGAATTCAGTTTACTTCGGAAGCAGAATCAGACGTCGGTGAACTACCATTTCTAGACTGGCTGCCTAGTTAAGAGAGAGGAAAACGGACATTTTAGTATATCCATATTCAGGAAGAAAACCCACTCCAACAAATATTTAGACTTCAAGTCATCACACACCATCAGCGCAAAGATTTCAGTTGTTTCAAGTCTTCTTAGACGAGCACACTGAAACTCTCAAGCAAAACAACTACCCATGGAACTTCATCAACAAAATCAACACAGACATTAAGTATGGCCGAAAACGCATTCTGAAAACATGGACCTCAACAGTCGTCATTCCATATAGAGCAGAGACGTCAGACGATATCAGAAGAGTACTCAATCAGCTCGACATCAGAGTTTTCAAAACATCAGACACACTGCAAAACAACCTTGTCCATATAAAAGACCAAATCCCTAAAGATTCTCTATCTAATTGTGTCTATAAAATAAAATGCTTGGAATGTGATGCGATATACATCGGACAAACATCACCAGAGAGAAATCAAAATCAGAAGAAATGAACACCGTAGAGCATCTCTCCGACCACCGAGAAATCCGGTTGAATTACAAAGAATTGAAAAATCATCAGCCATAGGTCTACATGCTATAGAATCAAGCCACAAAATTGATTTTGGCAATGTTGAAATAATCCAGAAAAACTTCAGAAATCACAGAGAACGTGTAATATCATCAGTAGCACTTCATATCAAGTGGAATCAAAATTGCCTGAATAGGAATGATGGACTAAAACAGAATCTGACCTGGTTACAACACCTCCCTCTCCCCCCCCCCCCCATCAAGTGACAAAACCAACACGAATGTGATAAGCACTTTCATTATGTAAACACATGCTGCTTTTATAAACTTATACACTTATCAAATCAAACAATCTACACATGATGGTTATGTTATCTTTACCAAATGACCAACTTGACAACTAAAAAATACCCCCAGATAGACGAACGATGATCAAGTTAGTAAACTTTGTTTTGATATCATAACGGATGTATTATCAACTTTGTTATTTAGTTTAGTGATCTTCATTGTTATTTTGACTTTCAATATGTCCCTTTAACTTGACCTAAGTCTATTTTCTCACCCCCTAACTCTTTGTTATATATATTTGCTGAGATTTTGTAAATTCCGGTTTAATAATACTTTGATAAAGCTGTTAGCATTAAATAGAGGAACGTCAGTAAAAATAACAATATCGTTTTGTTTTTCATTCATTGGGAAATACAAGAAAACAACCTTTATTATAATGAATAAGCAAAACAAATTTGAAAAAATAAAAGAAACAACATTTGGCCTTACCTGAATCTCTTGCGTTGATTTTATAATTTTATTATAAGTAATTTGAAATTTGAACAAATTATTCAATATTATTTGTCTGACACTATCCAAATTGTTTGGCATAGATTGTAATGATGCTTTAACTGATTCTAAAGCTGATTTCAATTGGATAATACCACCGCCTAATGAAGAAATTATTGTATGCGGACCACATGTATCCCAGACAAATGTATTCGGCTACAAGCACAAACGCGAAGCATTATTTCCAGAGGGAGGAAGAGAGAGAGTACGTGAGAAATTCATCAGAGAGTGTAAAACAAAAGAAAATAAATAAATAAATAAATTATCGCTGTCGTGGGAATGTGATATGACTGTCAATACACCTGGTGGTTGCGCTAACGAATTTCCCGGACTACTGTTCTAACCACTATTAGTTTACCAACAGAAGACAAGGGTCAGCCAAACAGATCGTTTATTAAGGAAGTCAACATACATTTATAGATTTACATGTAGATTATTATAGATTATTGTTAGCAGACAAACACAGTCTTCTGATTGGTGGTTCCTTGTTGAACATTAATCTTTCATCTCTTTGTGGCCGTTTAATTGAAGTTCGGATTATCTATCTGCAAATTGCATCCGCCTACGCAAACAAAGTCTGCTGTGATTGGTTATTGAGTCAGTCAGTCTTTGTTCTTGTTGTTTTCTCATGACCAATATTGGGGAGGTAAACATTGACGTAAATTGCTGCTGTCTACCAAATTTCGGCTAGGAGGCAGCTCTCACCACATTAGCATCACCAACAACAGCCGCAACAACACAATACGATTCTGCTGAAACCGTAATGCAAGTAGACAAGAAAAGAAGACAGACCATTGACGTGGAAAGCTTTTACTGTCTCATATCGACAGTGAAAAAATGGTTGACAGCGCTTGCGTACATATAGACGCTTCAAATAACCTTGAGGGACACTTATCGCATTGATAAATTAAAACAGCCATTAACTAATAGGATTCTAAGGTCAAAAGTGTGGTGAGGGAAATACAACCACTGTGGTGAGAGCTTGTGAGTGACATCAAACATAAATCATCTGCGAAATCCAGGTCTTCTAGGTTCTTCGTGTCGGTCCAGGATACCCGTGTCTTCTCGTTTCCCACTGTCTGACGCATAATCCAGTCCACCACAATTAGGAATATCATTGGTGATAATAAGCACCCTTGTTTGACTCCTGTGTTTACTCCAAACACCTCGCTGAGTTTTCTGTTGTGGATCACTTGACATGTGCCGTTGTCGTACAGCTGTTGAATAAGGTTGATAAATACATGCACATTAAATTGGCCAGACTCCGTAGTTTATCCTTCACTTGCATTGGGATTACACAGCGATTGATAAATTTATAATATATATATATATATATATATATATAGTAATGTATAATAAATTTTCCATTATCCTTATTTCAACGTCAAGAGTGATTGTGGTTGTGAAGACTTTTCTATGCGAATAATTTGGATACCGATGAGACTTCGTTTTCATGCAAAAAGAATAAACAAAGTTAAATGTGTGTATCGGCGATCCTGTTTATTATAGTCATCTCGTTTGCAACTAATAGTAATCTCTGAGCTGGTTGGTTTTGTTGCGGAGCTTTCGTCGTCCTTCTGGACAACATCTTCAGCGCAATATTTAGCATAAAGTGAAATGATTTAAATTTCTTCATGAGTGATATAATTATGTCTCCTGGTAACCATCTTTACACATGTATTGGCCATTTTCTATGGACTTGGATTTTAAACTTTCTGGTCACCTGATTTACTTTTTACTAGTTGGTATATTTCGTCTATATTAACGTGCTTGTTAATTGCATTTTCGTTTGAGTATCAGGCTTCTAGGAATTCCCTGACCACAGTTTTGGTGTTGCCTCTGTATAAGATTTTGACATTATCCCAATCATCAAATTGATGTCCATAATTGTCTATATGCATTTATACTAAAGAATACATATCGTGTCTTTTCACGGCTGATTTGTGTTCTTGGATTCTGATTCGAAGGGGACACCCACTTTGGCCAATGTAATGCTTGTTACCGTTCATACAGTTTATTTTGTAAATGGTATTAATTTTATCCCCTTTTTCTGTTGGATCTTTCGGTTTGCATAATATCGAATTATGCGATTATTTTGGCTGGCTTGAGTGCTATGTCTGTGTCAAACGGTTTCAGTATTCTAGCTGTTATTTCAGAGATATTTCTCATGTATGGTAGGATGAATTTTCTTGTGGTCTTTGATGATGGTTCTTTGTTGGTGTTTTGATTCGATTTTAAACACTTTTTGATGAAATTTTGTGGATAACCATTCTTTTTGAACACCGTTAGTAGGCACTTTTCTTCCATTCTTTTCAACTCTGGAGTGCTACAATGTGTTTGAACTCTTTTAAACAATGTCTGCACACAGTTTCGTTTGTGAGTGATTGGATTATTGCTAGTATAGTTGAGTATTTGATCTGTGTGCGTTGATTTTCTATATACTTGTGTTTCTAAATCTCCTGTGTTGGTTCTCCTGATTAAGACATCTAAAAATGGGATTTTGTTATCTAATTCTTCTTCTTCTCTTGTGAATTTGATGTCTTCAAATATGTTGTTTATTAATTTATGGGTATATTCTAAATCATTTCTCTTAATTAATACAAATGTATCATCAACTTAACGTACCCATAGTTTTTGTTTATGCATAGGTAGAGCTATTAATTCTAATCTTTGCATAACGGCTTCAGCTATTAATCCTGTTATGGGCGATCCCATTGGTGTTCCTTTTATTTGTTCATATACATGAGTATTGAATTGGAAGTATGTTGTAAGGCATAGTTTTATGAGTTCTGTCCAAGTTGAACACGGCGTTTTTATGTTTTTATCACTATAGAGTAATTGTTGCATAGTTTCTGTTGCTAGTTTTGGACTAATTGAAGTATATAATGCTGTGACATCAAAGGACACCATTATTTCATTGTCTTCTACTTGAATGTTTTTGATTTTCTCTAAAAATTGGGTTGACGAATTGATAGAATGGTCGCATGATTCTGTTAGGTAATTTAATTTCCTGAAAAGTTCTTTAGACAGATTATATGTTGGTGTTCCTGGAAGCGAAACGATTGGTCGTAAGGGAATGTTTGGTTTGTGTAGTTTTGGTCTACCATAGAATCGAGGTAAAATAGGTCCGTTAGATTTCATTCGCCATTGATCTTGTTCTGTCATTTGTCCTGATTTCGTTAGTTTATTTAACGTTATTTGGATTTTGTTATCTAATGTTTGTATTGGGTTTTTTGTCAACTGTTGATATACATTATTATCTTTGATTAAATCCTCTGCTTTCCTTATGTAGTTTTTCTTTATGTAGTCATCTCGTCTTCTATTTTAGTAGGACATGAAGAAGTGATAAATGATAGTGTGAGCTTAGTTTGTGAATGAGGCATATTGATCTGTTTTGAGAAGAAACCCCCCCCCCAGCATCAATTTTAGTCTTATGCAGGATAAGAGTACCATCAATACATCTTCAGGAGAACGGAAATACATATTTGCTTACTTCTATGGTGTACTATAATTATCTTGAGAATTATTAAACAACTATTCACTACAAACATTCAACAGAGGTGATGAAGATTCCTGGTTAACACCACCAACAGCAACAGCAACAACAACAGACAACAATCAGCATAAATGGAAAGGACCTGAAAGAAACAACCTCCTCTACCACCTACCTTAGAAGCATCGTTTCAACTATATGCAGACGGAACTGACGAGGATATCAAAGCAAGAATCGGAAAAGCAAGACAAGCTTTCACTACTCTCAAGTCTGTGTGGAGGTCAACAGCACTACTCAACATCAAAAATAACATCCGGATTTTCAACTCCAATGTGAAGTCAGTCAGTGCTACTCACTATACGGATCAGAGACTTGCACTGCGCGTCATAAAGAGCACCTCAAACAAACTACAGACCTTCATCAACATTTGTTTTCGCTCAATACCACTCAAGATCAGATGGCCGGCCAGAAAAGATCAGCAACAGAGAGGATCTCTGGCAATGAGCGAACCGACCGAGTAGGAACCGATTGTGAAACAAATAGACAGGAAGAAATGGAGATGGATTGGCTGGCCATACCCTGAGGAAACCATCAAGTGACATCACTAGACAGGCCATTGCTCGAGTGGAACCCGAAAGGGAATCGGCGAGTTGGTCGTCAGTGCCAAGGTGTGGTGACTTTGAGGAGGTGATGTGAAGAGGATATGAAAGCGTGTGGGCAGACTTGGAGCCAGGTGAAGACTGTAGCAGAGAACCGAACGCAATGGAGACTCGTGGCTGAAGCCGTATATTCCCGTAGGAGTTAAAGGAAACAATAATAATATAATACAAGCATTCAACAATTGTCATTCAGCTACAAAGTTTACTCTTGAAATTGTAAACGGATCTTAAATTCCTTTCCTTTGGTGTTGAACTTTACAAGGAGAGCTGACGGAACTTTTAGAAGTTTCATCCATAGGAAACCCACATAGAAAGGGCAACTGACAAGCGTCTACAGCTGCGTACCAATCAGTTGGAAAAGAAACCTAATTATATCTCTTGCTGCACTCACGTCCGATGAACTTGCAGCTCTGATATCTTGGAAGAAGAAGTCCACTTCCTCAAAGAAATCTTCATACAAAACGGTTATCCATCAAGATTCATCGAAAAAAACCCATCAAAAACAGAAAATCCAAAAGCAAGAGACGACATCTACACCTCAACTTCAAAGGTGACCTACTCAGTAATGTACTTAAGAGGAGAATTACCATTTATTTAAGAAAAACGTTCTTCGTGGTAACATTGAGAGTAGTGTTCTCCAGTTGCCCGCTGATCTGCAGAGGCCCAAATAACAAGATTCCGTACCTGACCAATTCTATGTGTGTGTGTTTATCAGTTCACCTGTTGCTGTGGAGTCAGGTACATCGGTCGTTCGATGCGTATCCTGTCAAAAAGGTCAAAGAACACCATCCAGCGAAGCTGAAGAAAGGAAGTAGTGGCCTTATAAAGAGTGCAATAGTCACATCTCGTTAGCACTCGTCGTTCTATCTCAGCAAACGCCTGCTCCTTCAAAGTAATCTATGAAGTGAAGAACAACCCACCAAAGACAATACGTTTCCGTCTTCTTTCCATTGCACAAGCCGTAGCCATTTCATTTAGAAGAACAAGAACTACGCACACAAAAATTACCATCATGGTAAAAACTCTGTTGATTTGACTTAACTTTTGTTTGTTTACTTATTTTTTCTAAGTACTTGAAACTCTTACGTAATTCCGTGTTTTATTTTGTTTCTATTGTACACCCTGAGCACAACTCTTTCATCAAGCTATTCATGTTATTAGGTAACACTTCTTTAACAATCGTTTGTTTGTGACAACTCATCGCTTTTATTACTTCCCACTTATATCATAATCCAATTCCTCTGAACGCTTTTTGTATTTTAGTAACCTCACCAAAAACTTACTAATTGTATTTTTAAAAACTTCAAGCAATTCTTCCCATTAATAAACTTAAACAAAGCAAGAACAACAATTGTACCAGGATAATATGAGCTCATCTTTTATTATTTCGAGGATTCTTCTCAACTGGTTACAACCTGAACGATAATAAAAATATTAATTACATTACATTAAAGATTTGAACATACTTTTCCACGATCACAAGGAGTAATTGGTACGAAGTAAAAGTGACATTACTCCGGAATGACTTAACTAATTAAGAGTTACAAACACTGACTATTTATAGAATAATTAGACAATTAGGCTTGGAAACAAAAACAGAGTTGCATATGTATACATATATATGTGCGTATAGAAACAAGGTTTAGCTAGAAAGAGCATAACAAAAAGGTGGATTACGTAACTAAAGAAAATGTTTTATCTAATAGCCAATAGAAAGAAACTGGTCATAATGTAGACAACTTGAAGTCATTCAAAATAATCAACAAGCGAAAGAAAGCTAGCTTGCTACGATTTGCTGAAGCAATTGCTATCAGACGACTTAAATTAAATCTATGTACGCAGAAAGAGACAGTGGTGAATCTTGCCTTACCCTGGTGACAACAAAAAATGTACAACTTGTATGAGTCACCCTTTTTCTTGTTTAGAAAACTCTACTCTCTCATCTAAACATGACTCACCCTATCTTGTTCTTTGCTCTTCCTTTTTTCTATTGGCTATTAGATAAAACATTTTCTTTAGTTACGTAATCTACCTTTTTGTTATGCTCTTTCTAGCTAAACCTTGTTTCTATACGCACATATATATATATATGCAACTCTGTTTTTGTTTCCAAGCCTAATTGTCTAATTATTCTATAAATAGTCAGTGTTTGTAACTCTTAATTAGTTAAGTCATTCCGGAGTAATGTCACTTTTACTTCGTACCAATTACTCCTTGTGATCGTGGAAAAGTATGTTCAAATCTTTAATGTAATGTAATTAATATTTTTATTATCGTTCAGGTTGTAACCAGTTGGGAAGAATCCTCGAAATAATGAAAGATGAGCTCATATTATCCTGGTACAATTGTTGTTCTTGCTTTGTTCAAATTGTAGTTTTGTTTAACAAATTTAAGGTACACACATATATGTACAAAATAACCGCATATATTTTATTTTGGGCTGATATCGTTTAGAGAACCATTGGAAAACCACCGGGGAGTACTGGACAGCCAGTTATTTCGTCATTTTTTGGGACTCTGTGTCAGTACGCAACCAGAACAGAGGTTCGAACCCAGGACCTTCTGGTTACAAGGTCAGCTCGTAGACCATTCAGCAGCTACTGGGACCTGATAGTCAACGAGTCCGAATTAAATGACGAAACAACTGTCCAGGACTCCCCAGTGGTTTCCCAATGGTTCTGTAACTGATGTCAGCTCATGATGATGAAATCCTGTAACCAATAAATCAAATCCTTACAAGCTAATTTATATATATATATTTGCGATTGAACAGCTGAGCGATAAATGAATTCGCCGCCGACAAAAAAGAGACTCTTCGCTTAACTAAACTAGTCTTTATTATTATTATTGTTTCCTTTAATTCCTAGAGGAACATAGGGCTTCAGCTGTGCGTCTGCATTGCGTTCGGTTCTCTGCTAGAGTTTTCACCTGGCTCCAAGTCTGCCCACACGCCTTAATCTCCTCTTCACATGACCTCATCCAAGTCACCCATGCACGGACGGCCAACTCGTCGCTTCCCTTTCGGGGAACATGGGAGTACTGGACAGCTGTTTCGTCCTAGTTTGGGACTTTTCCTCAGTACTCACCCACCGGGTTTCGAACTCAGGACCTGCTCGTTACAAGGCGAACTCGTATACCCTTAAGCCACTGGGACCTCGTGCTGAAGTTTCTGTAGCAGCTTTGTTTACAGGGTGGGGTTGCTAGCCTCATGCCTGAGAAGGGGAGAAATAGAAGGTTAGTGTTGCATGACCGCAGAGCCCAGGGGACAACTGCTTGAGGCCGATCACACGTGGCCTGTTTTAGTTTGTTCTTTTTTGTTTGGTCTGTCTCAGTAGCATATTTATCACTTCTGCTCTGTGACACAGCAGCAGGAAGCGCGGTCGTAGTTAATCCGGGCCCCGACCGATCCGGCATGATATTTTGTGAATTTGTTTGAATCATAGGATTGGATTGGGTAACTTCTTTTTGTCTCACCGCTCTTCAAACAACCTTTCTGGCATGGTAGGACCTACAGGAACATAAGTTCCAGCCAGTGTAGCTCGTTGGGTCATTTCGATATGCAAGCTCGACCACCACGTCAAGGTAGCAGCTATCGGTCGGGTACTAGTCTTTACTCAAATTTAAATCAAGAAAAACTTCGAATGCATTTTCATTTCCTTCAGATAAATTTAACTTGCTGACCAAAATGTCAGTCAGTAAGTTAGAATAATAAACTGTGCAGTAAAGGTATGCATGAGTATAAATACACACATACGTGTATAAACAAAGGCTCTCTATACACACCCACTTACTTCCATTAAAATGAATGCATCAACTTCATCTAATATAACGCATAACTGTTTAAAACCTGCTCCAGATGATGACAGCAGGACAACATTGACCAATTCTTGATTTTCATCTTTATAATCTAAATGTGTATACAAAAAAAAATATATAAGCAAACAGATAAACAAAGAAAACAAAGAACGATAGTAGAAGGAAAGTAGAATCCTAAAACAAAGGGAACATTCAGTCAAGCAAGTAGTTACCCCTGAGTTGTAATGAGAAGTCGTGACCAGTGGGGTACAGGAGGTTGGGTGTACAAGAAAAAAAGAGATACTCACCACTGATGATATTGGCTAGTTGCATTATGGATAAGAATTTTATTTTGATAAATCACACAGTGTTGCGTTATACAGTAAGTTATATTAACTGATGACCACGCTTTGAGCAAAAACTATTGATGCTCACAATCATATATCAACGCACCCACTCACACAACTTTCTTGCTTCATTTATATACATGAGTGAAATTGACGATTAGACATTTGAATAAAATCAATATGGGATAATGTACATTCAGAAATAATAATATGAGTGTTACTGATCAATTACAATTAGATGGGAAATAAAACGAGTGTTTCTATAGTCATAATAAGTAACTTGTTAAAATGTTATGATGTACGTGAATTGAAATAGAACTTTAAGGTTATTTATTATCCTCCTCTGATTTGACTGACTGGTGGTAATAATATCTTCCATACATATCTCTGGTATTTGCATTGAGTCATTTCTGTTGCATGTGTTGGGTGTAGACTCGATGAATAAGGATTCCTTAATCAACCTCTCTCTCTTCACCTACCTAGATTACTTTTTAGAATTTTAACCCTATCCCACCCTATTGTGTGTGTGTTCATGCACGCATTGCAATTGCTGAGCTTTTTTCTAAATTATTTAACTTCTCAGGGTCAAACATTCTTACCTCAGCTAAATTCTTATGTTCTGACAAGCTGACTACTCCTGACCTACTATTTTGACCTATGTAGTTGACCTAACTCACAGTCATTGCAGGGTATTTTGTAAATAATATTATTTTGTCTAATTGGGTCAACTGGGTCCTTTAACCTACAGAGCTTGTCCCTGAGTGAGTTTGTAGGTTTGAATGCCACTACCCCAATTCCTGCTTTGTTGAGAATCCCACGTAGGGAGGGTCTCAGATGTCCCTTCCTTATATGGTATACCAGTATATGACTTATATTCTCTCATATATTTGTTATCATTACTAGTTTCACAATTATTTTTATTTTGCTTTTGGTCTGTACTGATCTTCCTAATGAATTTTTTAGGATAGTTATTTGATACCAAGCAGCCTTTCTTCTATCTGTTTTATTTCATCATTTAGGTCTTTTCTCATGCTACTTAGGGCTACTGCTTGGTTTGTTAGACAGACACTTAACTAGGCCTACCTTCACAGACAACGAACGGATGAGATTAATTAAATGCGTTGGCTTTTTATAAACTCTAGTGTGTAGTTTACATTATTCTGTTCGTTTGATTTTACAATCTAAAATCATGGGTAATTCTCCTTGTTCAATTTTCGATTCAAATGTGAATTTTATTCCCTCTACTAGTGAGTTTATATGTGTCAAGAAGCTAGAGAGAGATGTTCTGTTCTGGCCAGTTTCAGTTGCGCTATTATCATGAATTATTAACAGAATTTGAAATTCATAGGCTGGCCATTGGATTCGCGTATCACAGTGGTTGCTGAATGGTCTATAAGCTCCCTGGTCTTGTAACTGGTAGGTCCTGGGTTCGAACCTCTTGTGGTGGTCGGGTACTGTTGAAGAGTCACAAACTAGAATGATGACAACGGCTAACTGTGTAGTATTCCTTTCTGATTTTACAATGGTTCACTAGTTGATATATACATCAACTCGTCAGCAGATTTTGAAGCAGTTTGTCGGTTTTCGCTTGTAAGTCTTCGATTTTGTGTGACATCAAACATAAATCATCCACGCGCGAAATCCAGGTCTTCTAGGTTCTTCACGTCGGTCCAGGATATCCCTGTCTTCTCGTTTCTCACTGTCTGACGCATAATCCAGTCCATCACAATTAGGAGTATCATTGGTGATAATAAGCACCCTGGTTTGACTCCCGTGTTTACTCGAAATGCCTCGGTGAGTTTTTTGTTGTGGATCGCTTGACCAAATTACCACAGAAACTTCAACGCACAAATATATTAAAAATGCTAAAAATAAAAACAATGACCTTATTTTTCGCTGGAATCGGGGAAGAGAAATGACGCAGGCTGGTGAAAGCCTTCGGGAAGCCAGTCAGCCGATGTGCCTTCTTTCGGTGAAAGCGAAAATAAGGATGGGGACGTGGAATGTTCGTACAATGTACGAAACTGGAAAGGCTGCTCAGGTAGCCACAGAAATGAGAAGATAATAAAGAGAAGTGTTGGGAATCTGCGAGAGGAGATGGAACGGATGTGGAAGGTGCCAACTACCAACTGGAGAGACAATAATCTACTCCGGTCACCCAGAGGACGATCACGAGCACACCGAGGGAGTAGCCATCATGATGTCACCAATAGCAGGCAAAGCTCTCATGCAGTGGGAACCAATCTCCTCCAGGATAATGACAGCCAGGTTCAACTCAAAAGGAAGGAAAGAAGGTTAAATCATTCAATGCTATGCGCCTACAAACGTCTCAGAACAAGACAAGAAGGAGGCCTTCTACAGACAACTACAAGCAGTAATGGACAACGTCCCAAATGGCGATATCAAATTCCTGATGGGTGATATATATATATATATGTATCCATGTGTGTAGAGTAATCAGCTGAAGAAGAGTTCTACCGAAATTTGATGTATTCATTAAATCATCCTGCTTTATTACCCTTTATTGCTTGCTTAAAATCTTATATATTTCTTGTTTTTAATTTTTACATTGGAAATATTCAATAATTCATCAGACATTTATAACAATTTGAAGAAGAAAAAAAGACAATAAGCTTGGAAGAAACGCGGCATGGAGGGCGTGGAAGGCTGGCAGTGTGTAGTGGTCATTGGAAAATAAAACACACTTACCATGAAATAAATTAGTCAATCGACTAAACTCCACTGAACTGCAAGCAAGTTTTAAAATCGGTTTGCCTTCACTGAACACTCTATCTGGACAGAGAACATCGAAAAAATTGTCTGGAAAACGTAGATGTCTTGGATACTGTGAATGACCTGGTGGTGATGAACTGATTAAGCCATGATGTGAACGACAATTATTTGATCTGCTATTTATAATCACTGAATTGGTTTCTAAATTCATTATATGAATACCCCAAAATATTCGACCATAATTAGGAAAAGTACTGGAACAAAAAATAGTAACGATGAAAAATAAAAAAGGCATGATAAAAGATCTGTGTATTAGAGGAGGAAGAGTAGATTAGCTGAAATATATGTAATGAGGCAGATACAGAGGGTATATGAGATCGTCAGAGTTTAGAATTCACAAGAACAGGCCTTTGGATTAGCGTATCCCAGTGGCTGCTGAATGATCTACGAGCTAGCTTACCTTGTAACTGGAAGATCCCGGAGTTCTAACCCTGATGGTGAATGCATATTCGACGAAGTACAAGAATGGAGTCCCAGGAGTGCGAACGCTCAAATGACCTTGAAAGCTTGCCAGTCGTTGGTTGAGGAAATTTACCATTATTCTAGCGCGAAAATGAACCCTGTTCATGAGCTCAGATGCAAATTTTACCCAGATCACGTACTTCAATACTGCTTAGATAATGGATTGGTAGGACGTACTCGGATATGCAGTTGTGGTGCTTCCATGAACCTCCAGTCGTATACCCAGGTCACTGACGCATATGTATTCAGATGTACACAGAGTAGAAAGCGAATAAGTGTACTGGTAAATGACACTCTCAGTTAATTGTCTTCTAGGAACTTTCTTTGAAAAGTCGAAACTGTCTTTGACCAATATCCTGTTTCTGTCCCATTACTGGGTTTTAAAGTTCGGGGTGCGATCTACTGCGGCTCAAACAGCTAATACGTTGACGTCTACTGTGCAGTGGTTTCAGTTTTGTCGAGATTTAGCCTCTTGGAAAATGAATAGTATTACTCAGGTGTTGGGAGGAGTCAAGGTAGTCGTCCATATCGATGAAACGGTTCTAATAAAGAAGAAGTACAATCGAGGTCGTGCCAGAGCAAATAACGTTTGGGTTCTGGGAATTTATGACACCCAGATTCGCAAAGGATTTATTGAGCTGATTCTAGATAGGAGTGCTGATACACTCCTCTCTATTATTCAGCGGCTCGTCTTACCAGGCACCACCATTCACACAGATGAATCGACAGGATACAACCGATTATCGCAACTGGGATATATACACCACCGAGTTTACCATTCGGATGACTTCGTCGATCCCAGAACCGGTACTCATGCTAATTAAATAGAAGGTTTCTGGGGAAGACTGAAAAATAGAATCAGAGCTATCAACGGATCTCAAAATCAAGTTATTTTCAGTCACCTAGATGAATATATGTAAGAAATTGGTTCAATTTAAAAACTGAAACCACTCAGCACAATTGGGAGATTTTTTATCTCATATTAGACAAAAAATACTCTGTTTAATGTTTTTTGTGCTTTTTTATGTAAATATACGCAAAATTTTGTGCAAAAATCATCTTTTTTCCTGATTGGTCGGCTCAAGGTCACTCGTGCGTTCGCATCCCTTGGGACTCTATTGTAGAACTTTGCCGCATATTCTACAACAGAAGAGTCCTAAACTAGGCTGACAACAAAGCTGTCCAATATTTTTCACGGTTAGGTTCTCTGGCCGATGTCAGTTCATGATGAAATCTTGTTACCAATCGCATCAAATCCTTGCGAACGAAAACTTGAAGATGTTTTTGATCCCTGATTGCATAAACAATTATTCGTCACATTATTTATGATCCCACTAGATTTTTCATCCAAACATCCTTCTATTTTTGTTATTTCTACATTTTTAACCCCTAATTGTACAGTATATCAATCTTCTCAGTAATTATGATGCTACTTTGTTTGAATTTTACCCGTCTCCCTGTTTGTTATGGCATTTTAATTCCTAATTGTTATTTTATTAATCTGACCGCTGACCGGGAATTATTCTGGAACTTTCCCACCCATTTATTATAAATACACGAATGTACAACTGTCTAGTTGATGATTTCGTCGAAAAGAAGATTTTCTTCACTGTGACTGTCTTTTAGCTTCGTTTCTCTTAGAGCAAAACACCATGGGTCGGTGTTGCGGCGGTTAGGACGCTCGCCGACCATGTACATGTCCGGGGTTCAGTCCCCGGCCGACGCACACTTGATATCTCAATGTTCGGCCTAGTAAATTTGAGCTAGCGATATCACATGCTGAAAATTCAATAACTATACCAAAAATACTGTGTGAAATCAATCTATAATAAAAAAATAAAAAAAATAAAAAAGAATATGTGGGGTCATCAGTAATTGAATCTTTGAATTTATATTATTATTATTGTTCCCTTGGGTTCCTAGTGGAACATAGGGCTTCAACTGCACGTCTCCACTTGTTTCTGTCTTCTGATGTACTTTTCACTTGCATCCATGTTAGTCCATACTGTTTCAACTCCTCTTCACACGATCTCCTCCATGTCACCCTTGCACCGACGTCCCACTCGCCGCTTCTTTTCGGGTTCCACTCGAGCACTGGCCTGAAGCGCGATGTCACCCAGCGGTCTCCTCAGTGAGTGTCCAATCCATCTCCACTTTCTCCTGAATTTATAAATAACTGTCAATATTATGAAATACAATTTAAGGACAGAACTTTAATTCACTTCTATGAAAGCGTTCCTAACAGATAGTTGTACGATCGATAGCTACCACTATTATGTGACAGTCAGCATTATGTATCACAAAGACTCAAAAACACAGCTACACTATGATGATTGAGTCGAATGTTTCTACCAGAAAGCTATAAAAATGAAATCGTCGAAACAAGAGTTATGTTCATTGAATTTTTTCTTTTCTGTCATAGTGGGAATAATTAATTTTAATTATTATAAGCCCTCACATCAACAACCAATCACAGCAGAGTTTGCGTAGACGGATACAATTCACAAATAGATAATCTGAACTTCAAGAAACGTCCACAAAGAGATAAAAGATTTACTTTCTGTGATAAACAACAAATCAGAAGACTGTGCTTGTCTGTTAACAATAATCTATAATAATCTAAAAATAATGTGTGTTGATTTCGTAAATAAACGATGTGTTGCCTGGCTGCCCTTAGTCTTCTGTAGTTACAGTAGTTTTCGCATCATTGTATTCATTTCATCATTCACATAAAAGTGTTGACATCAACTACATTCGAATATTATAATGTTCAAACGGTATTATTCTTTTTTTGGTTAAAGCAAGATATAAGATTGCACAATTAATTCATCCAGAGTACTTCGTGTCATTGACTGTTATTATATTACCAGAGGAATAGGAAGCTACGATAGACAGGCAAATAAATCATTCACCCGGAGGAATAATTAATGATTACTACTGCTAATAATACCGGAAAAGGAACATATAATCAAATTATAAGATAAAGTGAAAAAGAGAGAGGCAGGCAGAAAGGAATTCAGTGTAATTAAACAGCATATAACATGATTAGAAATGACAATTATATAAATGCAATTTAATTATACCTATCGGTTATCATTAATTTGCCTATTGCTGCTGCCTCTTATCTCTCCTTTATACCATTTAGAATAATAAAAATACAGAAATGAGAATCACTCTATATTAGATAGTTGGAGGCAATCGGCCCACAGGAAGCCTTGCTTGACCTAGGTTTCGTGCTAGTTGGCACTCACCAGTCAGTCAAGCAAGGCGTATCTGCGATCATCACCTTGAAGGAACTCATGTCCCTGCATCTGAGAGTCAAATGCGCGTCACTCCAGTGCTGACTGCAGTCAGAGACGTTACCACTACTACCTAGAATGGTGGCCACATTGCAAAACCTGACTGACTGATAGAATTCACAGTATGCACCAAAGAAAGGAGGACTAGACACGTCAAACTAGTTACTAGTGTCCAGTCAAAATAATCACTCTATATATATTTTGTCATGAATATTGATATCAGTCAGAAAATTACTGAAAACCACGGAACTTCAGATAGTTATTGCGTCCTAGTAATACGTAGACGTGCCTACACCAAGAGTAGAACTTAGAATTTTCAGGGTCCTGCAAATGAACCGGTCATTCAAGAAATATGCCGAGGAAAATGCCAACGGGTCAGACACTGTTCTGAGGAGACCGTCTTGTCACATTATCCTTCAGGCAATCAATATAGAATGGAACCCGAGTAGGAAAGGCCTAGTGGGCCGTGGACCCGAGGGAGATATTAAGGAGGCCGTGTGAGAAGGAGATCACAGACTTATGGGCAATTGTGAGGGCCAGCTAAAGAAGCCCACAGAGAATAAAACAATGTGGAGATTTACTGTTGAAACCCTGTTCCACTCAAAAGGCAAAGAAAAGATAAAAATACATGTATGTATTACAAAGGCATTTTTTTATTCCTTCACGTTCCCAGAAAAACATAGGGCTTCAAGCTAGTGGCTTGAAGTTTCGGTAGCAGTGTTTATTTTTACAGGATGGGGTTGCTAACCTCATGCCCAACCTTTCTCCTTTACCAGCATTTCAGCTAGCTTAGCAAGGTAAAGGATTGCGTCGGCCGGAGATCGAACCCCGGACCATGTGCATGGTCGGCGAGCGTCATAACCGCTATGCCACCGACGCACTTACATAGGTATAATATTATTAATATTGTTCCCTTGGGTTCCTAGTAGAACATAGGGCTTCAACTACACGTCTCCACTTGCTTCTGTCTTCTGCTGTACTTCTCACCTGCATCCATGTTACTCCATACTGTTTCAACCCCTCTTCACACGATCTCCTCCATGTCACCCTCCTTAGACGTCCCACTCGCCGCTTCCTTTTCGGGTTCCACTCGAGCACAGGCCTGACGCGCGATGTCACCCAGCGGTCTCCTCAGCGAGTGTCCAATCCATCCCCACTTTCTCCAGCATATTTGTTGGGCGAGTGGTTCTTGTTTCGTTTGTTGGTTCCCATAGTTTCTTGTTGGTGATTCATTCCGGCGGCCATCTGATCTTCAGTATAGAGCGAAGACAGTTGTTGATAAAGATCTGCAGCAGGCTGTTGGAAATATTCTTTTTGACCCACCGCCAAGTTTCTGATCCGTATAGAAGAAGTGACTGACTTGACGTTTGTATTGAAAATCCGAATCACTTTGTTGTTGATGCAGGCTGAGTGACAACGGAAGATTTCCAGAT